CAACAATATTTAGAAAAGAAAAATATAAGTACTTAGCATCCATGCTAAACATGCATTTAAAGTCTTAATTGATGTTATATCAAAGTCTTGACATGGGTATTTATAATAATTTTTTTATGTTTAAATGAAAATAAAAAAAAGTATTTATTTATTGAAACAATTTACAATGATAATTTTTTATTTTGCTAATGACATATTCTTTATTCTCGAGATTTTATTGATCACTTTAAGTAACATAAATATTTGTAATATATTTTTCAAGATTCCCACAAGTTTTTGTATCAAAATAAAATAACATAATTATTACTCAATAAGGTGAACACAGACTCTAGTATTTAGAAGGAAACATCAAGTGTAAAAAAAAGAAGGAAAATACTAATAATAAAGTGAGTGTAAACTTATAGAAAAAATTTGTTTAAAACTCTTCATTCACTTTTTTTATAGTTGATTTTAGGAGTTAAGAAGTTAAAGAACTAATTATGGCAGCAATCAAAATTAACTCTCACTGTTTTTTTATTAATCACCATAAATAAAAAAATTAAATATGTATATAATAGTTATGAATCTAATTTTTTTCAGCTAAAAAAATTGTTTATATTTGCAACAAAAACTTACAGAAAATAGAATGTTAACATCTATGGATTGAATTAGACAAACATTAGGCTAAAAGAAATAATTATTCAGGGACCAAGTTCAAATTCAAATTCTAATCGACAAAAAAAAAAAAATTTGTGGCTCAAAATATTATTTTCTAGCAAACTCAAATTCAGACTTATGCCCAAGTTTGAGCACGATCTAACCAGTGTGCATTAGTTTAAATTCAAAATCTACTTTGCTTGTGACCTTTTCACTTTAAAAACTTTGGTGTCTACTAGGTTTAATTTTAACTTTACTGTATTTTGCTTTATAAATATTAAAAAAGTATTGTTTTCTTTTCGTACGAGGTGATGTTATTTTATAGAATTTCGAGTTTCACAACACTCCAACTAATAATTATTATATTTCTCATATTTTGTTTAAAACATGATAACATCTCATATTAAAGAATTTACACTAGAGATTAAATTTCGGTGAAATTACTTTATAGAAATAAGTTGATATAAATTTTAATTCAATTTTAAATATGCTTATTAATCATATTTTAACAAAAATCCCAAAACTTTTCGCAATCAATTAGTAAATTGTTGATGATACATTAATAATCTTGTCATTTTCAGTACTTTTAGCATTTCGTGGATCTACTATAGTAATGTTTTCTGTTTTATTTATTTGAATCTTTTTCTTAGTATTCTTAGCATCATATAAATTTCTCCCCCTCACCTTTTTCCTCACCGGTAATAAAATTTGTCCACATGGGTGAGTTGGTGACTAATTCTAATGATCATAAATAGTGTAAAAGAAATAATTTTAGTTAATTAATATTCCAGGGGCGTCAATACCCCACATAATTTTATACATGATATTACTAATTAACTTATGTTTGATGGACATCATTGATCTTTTTATGTGGCAAACATGTTTTGGAGTTTTCATGATTTTACCTTGAATTTCTAGGAATTAGAAAGAAAAGGTAAGTAATCAAAGAGTTTGATATAATAATGGTCAAGGATAATTGATTATAATTATAACTGGTTATGGATCAGGCTACGTAGTTAACCATCCATCCTTATATTATATAATGTAGTATATAATATTTTTTAAGAAAAGTTTTTAATTAAAATATATCAAAATCATGCTTTTGTTTATTTATTTTTTTATTTTCAATATCAATATATCAAAATTATATATTATTAAAAAAAAAAAGAGTAAAACTTTTGCCCTTGATACTTTTGCACCAAACTCATGGAACTGTGGATTGCAACAGTCGTTTAATCCAACAGTTCCACAAATGTTTTGGATCAATGGCTTCCCGACGCTTTTTGATGTTATCATGGGATTTGTTCTTTTTCATGGTATGTTGGTTGGTTGCTTCTCCTGCTCAGTTGGCTGTTGTGTTGTCTACTGGGTGAACTTTAGATTGGTTTGAGTTCTATAGCTCTTTTGCCACCGTCTGTGAGGGCTAGCTTGGCTGACCTTAATGGTCATTGTTCAGCCATTACTTACAGCTTGCTGCATCATGGGAGCAGTAGGTTTTGGCCCCACTTTTGCTGCAACTTGAGAGCCATTGTTCTGCGCCATGCGAGGGATTGGCTGTGGCTCCACTTTTTGCTGCAACTTCAGAATCACTGTGCATTAAATGGACGGGACAACTGCATCATTAGGCCCAACCAAATGGCTTGACTTTGGGTGTCTTTCCAGCATTGGGAGAGCTGTTGGCATTTTTTTTTTTTGGGATTGCATCAGCTTTATTTGAAATAATGGGTTGCATTCTAATCTTTATCCTGCCTATACGCCAGGTTTGTTGTTTTTTAAGTCAAACCAAATTTCGATTTTCCCTGTTCCTTTTCCTTCCTCTGTCTCTTTTTTCTAGGGGTCTTTTTGGTTTTTCCTGCCAATTGTTTTCTGGGGCTACTTACTTTTTTGTTCCTCATGTTGCTTCCTTCAGGTCTTCTCATCTTCGTGCGTAATCTGTCTGCCCTTTTGTTCCGCTATATGTGTTGTTCTTTGGTGCTCCCATTTTGTTTCTTCTCATGAGGTTAGTTGATAATTTAGCCACACTTTTGCTTTGCAGCTTAAGATATGGGTGCCGCTGTGCATTTGATATATGTCCTCTGCAATTGCCTTTGTTTTTCCTTCAAGATTTAGAAGGGATGTAATTTTTTGCATGGATTTAGATTTTTCTCTTTTGTTGTTGCCAACCTGCCTTGCTTTTTTGGTTGACCAGCTTTAAGCTTCTTCATTGCCTTATTGCCTTATTGCCTTTTGCTTTTTCTTTTTGGTTTACATTGCATTTTAATCATTTTTTTTTTATTTCCATCTATTTTTTTTTCCAGCTTTGTTAGAGGGTGTTTGGGTGGAAGATATAGTTGGTTTTTTTCTAAAAGCTACCACATCATTTACTAAAAGTATATATTTTTTACTTTTATAAAGTCTAATGTGTGCTTTAAAAAAATAATACCTTACAAAAAAAAAAATACTACCACACCTTATACCCAAACACTCTTTAATATTCTCTTCGTTTGGGCGATCGCTTTTGTTGTTGTCTTAAGTGTTTGGTAAACTACCAGCTTTTAGAACTGATGCTGATTTCTCACAGCAGCCACAAGTCTCCTCGAGGTAGCCATATATGAATAGTCCTGCGCCATCACAAACAAAAAGGCAACTACTGTTAGAAGATGGGACGCCTCTGCACAGGTCACGACCAGCTCTTTTCTCTTATTTTATGAACGCTCCTTTTCAGTTTCAAACCTGTCAGTTGTCTCTCTTCATTTTATGACTAACAATTACATAACTAATTGGTTTAGTTTTGACTTGCAGCTCTGCAACAGCTGTTGCGACTGACCCTCCAAGTGGATCCATATCACTTGATCATGGTGCCATCTCCGACGCAAATGATCCAGTAACCAAACGCCATCGTCCTTTTAAACACGTTAGTGATTGGGTAATTTTGCTTTTAATTATCTTCATCAAACCTGCTGTGATGGTTCTCTGATAACACAAACGAAGACTTTTGCCTTCCTAACTCTTTCATGCAATGGCCTTTGATAGATTTTTCACCAACAGTTTTGCCTACACATGTCTTTATAATGTTTGATTTCTTCATCCAATCCCTCAAATCAGCATGAACACGAGCTCAAATCCATGTTTTCAAATATGTTAGAGATGCCAGCTAAATTCATTCACCAGGTTAACATGTGTGCAAGCCTAATATTTCCTCTGTCTATAAACAATGCCTATATGGTTTTCCATATTTTCCACCGCTCCGCAGCAAAGCTTCTTGT